CAGTCCCTTCACACTCACAACCGATACCCCTGTCACTACCTCCCGTGGTCACCAGTCCCCTCACACTCACAACCGATACTCCTGTCACTACCTCCCGTGGCCACCAGTCCCTTCACACTCACAACCGATACCCCTGTCACTACCTCCCGTGGCCACCAGTCCCTTCACACTCACAACCGATACCCCTGTCACTACCTCCCGTGGCCACCAGTCCCTTCACACTCACAGCTGACTCCCCTGTCATTACCTCCCGTGGTCACCAGTCCCTTCACACTCATAGCTGATACCCCTGTCATTACCTCCCATGGCCACCAGTCCCTTCATACTCACAGCTGATACCCCTGTCATTACCTCCCGTGGTCACCAGTCCCTTCACACTCACAACTGATACCCCTGTCATTATCTCCCGTGGCCACCAGTCCCTTCACTCACACCGATACCCCTGTCATTACTTCCCGTGGCCACCAGTCCCTTCACTCACAACTGATACCCCTGTCACTACCTCCCATGGTCACCAGTCCCTTCACACTCACAGCTGACTCCCCTGTCATTACCTCCCGTGGCCACCAGTTCCTTCACATTCACAGCTGATACCCCTGTCATTACCTCCCATGGTTACCAGTACCTTCACATTCACAACCGATACCCCTGTCATTACCTCCCGTGGCCACCAGTCCCTTCACTCACAACCGATACCCCTGTCACTACCTCCCGTGGTCACCAGTCCCTTCACACTCACACCGATACCCCTGTCATTACCTCCCGTGGCCACTAGTCCCCTCAGTTTAACACGTAGGCTTTCGCGACCAATATTATTCATAATAAAGGTTTTTGGATTAGATCGCGTTATTTATAAATGTGTCATAACCCTCCACCACCCGACACGGCCAATCAGTAAAAAAGTGTCACGTTGACTTTAGACAAAATAGTCCACTACTTTAGCCCACCGGTGTGTTGAAGAGTGAATCCACAACATTTTAAATTTTTTGAGTACGACGTTTCTCTGGTAATTAGATCCAGCATCATCGGGCAATTTGCCAGAATAGTGAAGCCCTCCACTTTCTCCCGGTCTTAAATAGAGCAGCAGCACGGTGACGTCATCATCAATTAACCCAATCAGGTGCAGAGATCAGAGACGGGGGGGGGGGGGGTATTGTAATTATATACTAGATTAGTAATCAGTTAATTGTTATGATTAGTAATCAGTTGTAGATTAGTAATTAGTTGTAATGTGTATTATTTAATAACTGAACCCAATCACTCTACCCAATCAGGTGCAGAAATCAAAGGTGGCGAAGGGGGGGGGGTATTGTAATTATATACTACGTTAGTAATCAGTTAATTAGTATGTGTTTCCCCTATAAGGAATTGTAATATGTATTATTTAATAATACGCTCTGACAGCCTGAAGCTGTCAGAGCGATTAAAGTTATTTTTATTTCTCTCAATTTCAATGGATTCTCTAATTAGTCTTGGCCAGTAAACACATTCCTGCGGAGGGGGCTGGTAGGAACGTTCGGTTGCTCGGTCAATTGCCAGGGTCAACGGCGGCACCACGTGGTGCATTCAGCACAATATGCCCGACTGTGAGGGCGGGCACAAGCCGGCATGAGTAAGTTAAACGTTGAGTTTGATAAGGGCACCACGGGGTGACCAGCCCCTCCCCACCAAGCCCCTCCCCACCCCACCCAGCCCCTCCCCACCCTCCCCACCCAGCCCCTCCCCACCGAGCCCCTCCCTACCCTCCCCTCTCCACCCAGCACCACCCCTCCCATTTTTTATATCCGAATGTCCGGATATACGTGGACAGACATCCACAGACATACACAATTAATCCCATGCCTCCATTTTTCACTCCAGCGCTGTCCTACCAGACAGTCTCATCCCTTCACCTGATGAAGGCCGCTTGTGTTGTGGCCAAAACGTCGTGAGAATATTATTGTGTTATTTTATTTTATCAATTTATTATTTTATTCTCATTCTACGTGACTTTACCGAAAGAACCAAAGAAGAAGATTATTTGGTGTTCTTTTAGTCTTATGCTGATGTTACGTGCCGTCTGTCCAACAGAAGGTGTATATCAGCTTAATTGCTTATGTGGCAGATGCTATTTCACTCCTCTACATCATCCTCCCACGAATAAAAATGCAGCCGTCCCGGCTGTCAGATCTATGCAAACGTGCGCGTATGTGTTGTGACCGACCCATGAACTAACGTAATCATAAGCAGTGACCATGGAAGAGCAACGAACAACAACAAAAAACAGTAACCAGGGAATTGTGACGGCGTGAACAAACCGTTCTATTAACGAAAAGTGACGCGTAGTGAGCGAGTGTGTGCGGCAGGACCATCCCCGCGGGTAGAGACGGTTTCGCTCGGGCGTGAATAGTCCGCTGAAGGAGTCCTCATCGCTCCGTCCGTCGGCAGCAGGCTCTCCGGGCCTGTATATTGCGGGAGGAGGAGGTGTTCAAGCAGAAGGATGGATACGGCGGGAACCCTCCGGTCCCACGGCGGCAGTCGACGGCGATGTGGCCCGGGCGGCCGCACCTGCAGCAGGTACGGGAAGGATGCCCAGGTGGCTGGCTCAGCTTGGGGCCCGATTCCCGTGCTGATGGCCGCAGGCTAGCGCTCCTTCCCTCCGTTCCCCGGGTAAAGGAGGCACACGGCCTGCTTGTCCATGGCCTGCTCGTCCACGGCCCGCTCGTCCACGGCCCGCTCGTCCACGGCCCGCTCGTTCACGGCCCGCTCATCCACGGCTCGCTCGTCCACGGCCTGCTCGTCCACGGCCCGCTCGTCCACGGCCGGCTCCGTTACACTGGCCGCCACCGCCGGCCAGTCCTTAAGGGTGAGGTGCGCTTGGATGCCGCGGGCTACCGGCAGAGAAGTCAGGTCGTCTTCCTCTGCCACCGCGAAGGTGACCCCCAACTCCCGAGCCAAGGAGAGAAGCCGTTCCTAGGCGAGGGGATCCAAGGCGACTGTCCATGCGAGGGAAGGCCGCGTGCCCCAAGGCGAGGAGTGCACTGCGGTACGCCAGCGGCATCTCGTTCTCTCCCCGTTGCCACAGCCTCAACCTTCTCCGAACATTAGACGGGGGATTAAAAAAAATAGCGGCCATCTCGGTGTAGGCGTGCGCGAGGGTCGCTCTATCCGACTCGGGGATGGCGAAAAAAGCGGCTCTTCGTCGAGGGCCATGGGAAGCGCTTGAAGTGCCTCCTGGGATGTCCATCCCAGTGAGATGTAGGCGACCTCGAATCGACGGCGAAAAGCTATCCATTGAACTGACGCACCGGCGGCAGCCGTCGGAACTTGGGAATTATTTCCACCTTGGAAGCCGGTGGCTGCTGCTGCTGAGGCGTGGGCCGATCGCCCGAAATGGCGGACGAGTGGGGCATGGCTGCCGCCCCCAAAATGGCGGAAAGTCCAGCGCTCCAGTCGTCTCGGTCATGAGAGTGGCGGGAAGCGCGTCTTGGCATCCAGCGGAAATCGCAGCAGTCATCCGCTCGAAAAGATGAGCGGCGGCCGACAGAAATCTTTCCAGGTGACCGGCGATGTCCAGCCAGCTCTGCGGAGGAGGTGGCTGGGCTGGACTCACCACACACTCCTGAGTCGACTGAAACACGTCGTCAGAGCGGGCGCTCGGAGCTCCGGCAGCCGGAGCTGTTGGAGGGACGACGTCTTGCTCGGCGTCGACGTCGGACGACGCAGCAGGTGGGCTCTTACGTTTCGTCGCCGAAGTGGACATGACGGCGGAGGTTCGTTGGCACTTCTGGCACCAAATGCAGTGTCTTGAAAAATGACTCGCACCGACACGTTGTAACAAGTCACCTGCTTACACTTTATTTACCTATTTTTGCACCAGTTGTAAGCACTCCTAGAACTATCTGTATGGTTACATCAAGTTGACTTCTCCCCACTCATATCTATTCTGCACCTCACTTATCCTGCAATCGGCGACTCCTCACTCAGCGTCTCCACACTCAGCGTCTCCTCGCTCAGCGTCTCCGCGCTCAGCGTCTCCGCGCTCAGCGTCTCCGCACTCAGCGTCTCCGCACTCAGCGTCTCCGCACACAGCGTCTCCGCACACAGCGTCTCCGCACACAGCGTCTCCGCACTCAGCGTCTCCGCACTCAGCGTCTCCACACTCAGCGTCTCCACACTCAGCGTCTCCACACTCAGCGTCTCCACACTCAGCGTCTCCACACTCAGTGTCTCCACACTCAGCGTCTCCACACTCAGCGTCTACACACTCAGCGTCTCCACACTCAGCGTCTCCACACTCAGCGTCTACACACTCAGCGTCTACACACTCAGCGTCTCCACACACAGCGTCTCCACACACAGCGTCTCCACACACAGCGTCTCCACACACAGCGTCTCCGCACACAGCAGTTCCGTACTCGGCGACTCTGCATCTCCACCGCTGCCCTCACCTACGCTCCCCTGAGACCCTCTCACCCGTCTGTCCCGGGCGGGGGGTTCAGCCAACACCCGCCCGGCGACGGAGTGGGGGTTGAGGTCCCGTTGACGGCTGGAGCGGCAGCAGCGAGACGTCTTCGCTCTTCGTCCCCGGCAACAACAACAACTCCCGACTCTCACACCCACTCCCTCCTGCTCATCACGAGTCCTCACGTGCTGTCCCTCAAGCCACCGCCAGGCCCACGCCACTTGCCCCACGAATATCTTCTCATCACCCCCCCACCCACCTCCCGTCTCCTAGGCGCCGACAACCGCGGGCCACAGCCTCGCGCCTGTTAGAGGTCGGCTGCACCCGCTTCTCCCCTTAATCACTGGCGGTTGGTCCGCGAGAACCTCGTGGTGGTGCAGCATTGCGCAGCAGTTGCACCGCTTTTAACTTTACACACCGCGCATTTGTCCCCTCTGCAGTAGTGTGGATTATAACGGTAAGTGCTATGCTTATGTGTAGTATGGATTATAACGGTCAGTGCTATGTTTATGTGTAGTATAGATTATAATCGCTGGAATGCTATACTTATGTGTAGTGTGGATTATAATCGCTGGAATGCTACGCTTACGTGTAGTGTGGATTATAATCACTGGAATGCTATGCTTATGTATAGTGTGGATTATAATCGCTGGAATGCTATGCTTACGTGTAGTGTGGATTGTAATCGCTGGAATGCTATGCTTATGTGTAGTGTGGATTATAATCGTTGGAATGCTATGCTTACGTGTAGTGTGGATTATAATCGCTGGAATGCTATGCTTATGTGTAGTGTGGATTATAATCGCTGGAATGATATGCTTGTGTAGTGTGGATTACGATCGCTGGAATGCTATGCTTATGTGTAGTGTGGATTATGATAGCTGGAATGCTATGCTCATGTGTAGTGTGGATTATGATAGCTGGAATGCTGTGCTTATGTGTAGTGTGGATTATAATCACTGGAATGCTATGCTTATGTGTAGTGTGGATTATAATCGCTGGAATTCTGTGCTTACGTGTAGTGTGGATTATAATCGCTGGATTGCTATGCTTATGTGTAGTGTGGATTATAATCGCTGGAATGCTGTGCTTATGTGTAGTGTGGTCTTATAATCGCTGGATTGCTATGCTTATGTGTAGTGTGGATTCTGATCACTGGTATGCTATGCTTATGTGTAGTGTGGATTATGATCGCCGGAATGCTATGCTAATGTGTAGTGTGGAATATGATCGCTGGAATGCTATGCTTATGTGTAGTGTGGATTATAATCGCTGGAATGCTACGCTAATGTGTAGTGTGGAATATGATCGCTGGAATGCTATACTTATGTGTAGTGTGGATTATAATCGCTGGAATGCTATGCGTATATGTAGTGTGGATTATGATCACTGGAATGCTATGCTTACGTGTAGTGTGGATTATAATCGCTGGAATGCTATGCTTATGTGCAGTGTGGATTATAATCGCTGGAATTATATGCTTATGTGTGTTATTAATTATTACCGTCAGAATGCAATGCGTATGTGAAATATGGATTATAAGTTATGCTTATGCGTTGTATGGATTATGAGTTCAATGCGTATGTGTAGTATGGATTATAAGTTCAATGCGTATGTGTAGTATGGCTTATGAGTTCAATGCGTATGTATAGTATGTATTATGAGTTCAATGCGTATGTGTAGTATGGATTATGAGTTCCATGCGTATGTGTAGTATGGATTATGAGTACAATGCGTATGTGTAGTATGGATTATGAGTTCAATGCGTATGTGTAGTATGGATTATGAGTTCAATGCGTATGTGTAATATGGATTGAGTTCCATGCGTATGTGTAGTATGGATTATGAGTTCAATGCGTATGTGTAGTATGGTTTATGAGTTCAACGCGTATGTGTAGTATGGACTATGAGTACAATGCGTATGTGTAGTATGGATTATGAGTTAAACGCGAGCGGCGCCGCGAGTCGAGGGGGGCCATGGACGAGGTGCGAGGGGGGGGCGGAGAGGAGAAACTGAGGGCAGAATGGGAGAGGTGACAACACCAACAGCGACATCGTCACACAAACCTCCTCCTCCTCATCACGTCGTGTACAGTAACACACGTGCACAGTAACACACCTGTACACCAATACACCTGTACAGTAACACACCTGTACACCAATACAGCTGTACACCAATACACCTGTACAGTAACACACCTGTACACCAATACAGCTGTACAGTAACACACGTGTACAGTAACACGTGTACAGTAACACACCTGTACACCAATACAGCTGTACAGTAACACACGTGTACAGTAACACGTGCACAGTAACACCTGTACACCAATACAGCTGTACAGTAACACACGTGTACAGTAACACGTGTACAGTAACACACCTGTACACCAATACAGTTGTACAGTAACGCACGTGTACAGTAACACGTGTACAGTAACACCTGTACACCAATACAGCTGTACAGTAACACACGTGTACAATAACACGTGTACAGTAACACCTGTACACCAATACAGCTGTACAGTAACACACGTGTACAGTAACACACGTGTACAGTAAGCCACTGTACAGTAGCACGCCTGTACAATAACACGTGTACAGTAACACCTGTACACCAATACAGCTGTACAGTAACACGTGTATAGTAACACACCTGTACAGTAACACACCTGTACACCAATACAGCTGTACAGTAACGCACGTGTACAGTAACACCTGTACACCAATACAGATGTACAGTAACACGTGTACAGTAACACACCTGGTCAGTAACACACGTGTACAGTAACACACGTGTACAGTAACACACCTGTACAGTAACACACCTGTACACCAATACAGCTGTACAGTAACACACGTGTACAGTAACACACCTGTACGCCAATACAGCTGTACAGTAACACGTGTACAGTAACACCTGTACACCAATACAGCTGTACAGTAACACACGTGTACAGTAACATCTGTACACCAATACAGCTGTACAGTAACACGTGTACAGTAACACCTGTACACCAATGCAGCTGTACAGTAACACACGTGTACAGTAACACCTGTACACCAATACAGCTGTACAGTAACACAAGTGTACAGTAACACACCTGTACACCAATACAGCTGTACAGTAACACACGTGTACAGTAACACACCTGTACACCAATACAGCTGTACATTAACACACGTGTACAGTAACACACGTGTACAGTAACACACCTGTACACCAATACAGCTGTACAGTAACACACGTGTACAGTAACACACCTGGACACCAATACAGCTGTACAGTATCACACGTGTACAGTAACACACCTGTACACCAATACACCTGTACAGTAACACACGTGTACAGTAACACCTGTACACCAATACAGCTGTACAATAACACGTGTACAGTATCACACGTGTACAGTAACACACGTGTACAGTAACACCTGCACACAAATACAGCTGCACACAAATACAGCTGTACAGTAACACACGTGTACAGTCACACGTGTACAGTCACACGTGTACAGTAACACACCTGTACACCAATACAGCTGTACAGTAACACGTGTACAGTAACACACCTGTACACCAATACAGCTGTACAGTAGCACGCGTGTACAGTAACACCTGCACACCAATACAGCTGTGCAGTGACACACGTGTACAGTAACACACCTGTACACCAATACAGCTGTACATTAACACACGTGTACAGTAACACACGTGTACAGTAACACACCTGTACACCAATACAGCTGTACAGTAACACGTGTGCAGTAACACACCTGGACACCAATACAGCTGTACAGTAACACGTGTACAGTAACACACCTCTACACCAATACACATGTACAGTAACACACGTGTACAGTAACACACGTGTACAGTAACACCTGTACTCCAATACAGCTGTACAGTAACACCTGTACAGTAATACACGTGCACAGTAACACACCTGTACACCAATACAGCTGTACAGTAACACGTATACAGTAACACACGTGTACAGTAACACCTGCACACCAATACAGCTGTACAATAACACGTGTACAGTATCACGTGTACAGTAACACACGTGTACATTAACACCTGTACACAAATACAGCTGTACAGTAACACACGTGTACAGTAAGACACGTGTAGAGTCACACGTGTACAGTCACACACGTGTACAGTAACACACCTGTACACCAAGACAGCTGTACAGTAACACACCTGTACACCAATACAGCTGTACAGTAGCACGCGTGTACAGTAACACACCTGTACACCAATACAGCTGTACAGTAGCACACGTGTACAGTAACACACGTGTACACCAATACAGCTGTACAGTAACACACGTGTACAGTAAGACACGTGTAGAGTAACACACATGTACACCAATACAGCTGTACAGTAACACGTGTACAGTAACACACCTGTACACCAATACAGCTGTACAGTAACACGTTTACAGTAACACACGTGTACAGTAACACCTGCACACCAATACAGCTGTACAATAACACGTGTACAGTAACACACGTGTACATTAACACCTGTACACAAATACAGCTGTACAGTAACACACGTGTACAGTAAGACACGTGTAGAGTCACACGTGTACAGTCACACACGTGTACAGTAACACACCTGTACACCAAGACAGCTGTACAGTAACACACCTGTACACCAATACAGCTGTACAGTAGCACGCGTGTACAGTAACACACCTGTACACCAATACAGCTGTACAGTAGCACACGTGTACAGTAACACACCTGCACACCAATACAGCTGTGCAGTGACACACGTGTACAGTAACACACCTGTACACCAATACAGCTGTACAGTAACACACGTGTACAGTAAGACACGTGTAGAGTAACACACATGTACACCAATACAGCTGTACAGTAACACGTGTACAGTAACACACCTGTACACCAATACAGCTGTACAGTAACACGTTTACAGTAACACACGTGTACAGTAACACCTGTACACCAATACAGCTGTACAGTAACACACGTGTACAGTAACACACCTGTACACCAATACAGCTGTACAGTAACACACGTGTACATTAACACCTGTACACCAATACAGCTGTACAGTAACACACGTGTACAGTAACACACGTGTACAGTAACACACGTGTACAGTAACACACCTGTACACCAATACAGCTGTACAGTAACGTGTACAGTAACACACGTGTACAGTAACACACCTGTACACCAATACAGATGTACAGTAACACACCTGTACAGTAACACACGTGTACAGTAACACCTGTACACCAATACAGCTGTACAGTAACACACGTGTACAGTAACACACGTGTACACCAATACAGCTGTACAGTAACACGTGTACAGTAACACTCGTGTACAGTAACACGGTCATTTCCTCCCTTCTCTTCGCTTGCGAAACGTGGACCCCCCTAATGGAACATCTTCGCCAGTTAGAAACATTTAGGCTGGTCTGCCTACGATCCATCCTGGGTTTAACCAGGCTGGATTGTGTGAGGAGCTCAAAAGTCCATGAAAGATCTGGGCAAGGTCCCATCGGTGAGCTCCGGCAGACAAGGCTGCGTTGGCTGGGTCATGTAGCCCGCATGCCCAGCCACCGCATGCCTAAACAGCTTTTGTTCGGCCGGATCGAGGGGGCTAAACGGGCGCGGCACGGGCTAGAGAAGAGATGGAGTGATGTGGTACAGGAGGACGTGGAGCTGAGTGGACTTGCCAATGACTGGTACCTGCGGTGTCAAGATCGGCCTCTGTGGAGGAGGCTCGTGAAAAACGCTACTGGGCAGTTGGAGGCAGTCGCCCTCCAACAACAACGGAGGGTGGAGGAGCGACGCTCACAACAACGAGCGGAACGCCGGGTGGCTAAAGCACAGCAGGTTGGCACAGTAGGGGGCACAGGTGGTGCATCAGCCAGTCGTCTCAGTCATCTCAGTCAGTCGACCCGTGGCACCTGGGTCTGCCCCGTGACCTGCCAGCGGGCGTTCGACACTTCACGTGGCCTCAAGGTGCACATGGCCTGGCACAAGTGTCGTGGTGACGTCACCGCCACTTTGTGGCGAATGACGGTTGTTGTTGTTGATGATGTTGGTGATGATGGTGGTGATGGTAATGGTGCTTGACGCGGTTTCGTATCTCAATTGGCAACATTCGACGGCGAGAATTCTTCTCCAAGCTCACCGGTGAATGAGGCCTAGCGAGAGATAATTTACATCTCGACTCGAAGCTTTCGTGGCTGCAGGAATCCAAACCCTTTGGTTGTTTCGGTAAAGTAACTTAGTAAAATAAAATCACGACGTTTCGATTTCAACACAAGCAATCGTCCCACCTGATTGTGGCCGCTTGTGCTGCGCCCGAAACGTCGTGATTTATTTTATTTCCTACCCACGTGACTTCACGGAAAGAGCCAGCAAGTATCGATCGATAATTATTGATCGCTTCAACCATAGACACGTGAAAAAGACCGAGGCTTACAATTTAAAACTCTACTACCGACACAATATACACACACAGAGAGACGTAAAATATAACAACTTTAATATTTGAATTCAGCGCATCAAAATCCATAATGAACAGCACATTTCATCTCTGTAGCAGACGACGTCTCACACATTGTAGACGCTTTGTTATCAGAGAATGTTTTTAGTTTGCATGTTAAACCACAAGGACCGTGTGGGGTTTGGGGGCCGTCCATAAATGACGTCACGCACTTAGGGGCGCGGGGTGGGAGGGGTCAGCCATTTGTAACGATGTGTGACGAGGTGGGGGAGGGGGGTGTTTGAGAAATGTGACGTCACATCAAAACGCGCAACTTTAAATACATATAGACAACACGTTCTGCTGAATTAAATAGACTTTTAAATGAATGTTTTCTCCTACAACATCAGAGTGCAGCGCCACATTAAATACGCACTACAATGTGACAATAGTTTAAAGCGATTTGAAGCGTGTTTTATTTTCAAAATGGAAATATGGTTTTGGGGGTGGCGAGGGGGGGGTGCAGAGCTTTGTGACGTCATATTTGAGGGGTGGGGGGGGGGTCTGACTTTTTGTGACGCCGCGTGACGAGGGGGGGGGAAGGGGGGGGGGTCAAAAATCGTCCAAAATCGCGTGACCTCATTTATGGACGGCCCCTTAGAGCAGACAAGATTCCTTGAAAAAGGATTCTGTTTGGCGTTTTCACATTTTACCACCTCCCGTTTCACTGCCAGAAGGTGTAAAAACCTCTTTCTACACTTAGAATCGCCGCATCGTTGATGGCTCGCAGCAGCACGCGACAGTGAAACTTGTTTTGGCCGTGTCGGGTGGTGGAGGGTTTTAACAGCGGATCGTCGTCCCTTGGCGCGTGAGGTCGTTGCAGGATCCGCGTGCTCCTTTCCCGTTGCTAGGGAGCAGGAGGAGCTGCGTGGCTCCCTGCTGGAGACGGACACGGAGAGCTGGGCGCAGGGAGGAGACCTCGCCACGTCCGGGCTGCGTCTCCTTGGAGGCTGCGATGTCTCCTACCTCGCGGCTAAACCGGACGTCGCCTGCGCAACCCTGGCGGTGCTCAGCTTCCCAGAGCTCGAGGTGAGGGTGGGTGGGTGGGTGAGTTGAGTGTTTGGGTTAGTGAATGGGTGAGTGAGTGGGTGAGTTGAGTGTTTGGGTTAGTGAGTGGGTGAGTTGAGTGTTTGGGTTAGTGAGTGGGTGAGTGAGTGGGTGAGTTGAGTGTTTGGGTTAGTGAGTGGGTGAGTGGGTGGGTGAGTTGAGTGTTTGGGTTAGTGAGTGGGTGAGTTGAGTGTTTGGGTTAGTGAGTGGGTGAGTGAGTGGGTGAGTTGAGTGTTTGGGTTAGTGAGTGGGTGAGTGGGTGGGTGAGTTGAGTGTTTGGGTTAGTGAGTGGGTGAGTTGAGTGTTTGGGTTAGTGAGTGGGTGAGTGAGTGGGTGAGTTGAGTGTTTGGGTTAGTGAATGGGTGAGTGAGTGGTGAGTTGAGTGTTTGGGTTAGTGAGTGGGTGAGTTGAGTGTTTGGGTTAGTGAGTGGGTGAGTGAGTGGGTGAGTTGAGTGTTTGGGTTAGTGAATGGATGAGTTGAGTGTTTGGGTTAGTGTTTGGGTTAGTGAGTGGGTGAGTTGAGTGTTTGGGTTAGTGAGTGGGTGAGTGAGTGGGTGAGTTGAGTGTTTGGGTTAGTGAATGGGTGAGTTGAGTGTTTGGGTTAGTGTTTGGGTTAGTGAGTGGGTGAGTTGAGTGTTTGGGTTAGTGAATGGGTGAGTGAGTGGTGAGTTGAATGTTTGGGTTAGTGAGTGGGTGAGTGGGTGGGTGAGTTGAGTGTTTGGGTTAGTGAATGGGTGAGTGGGTGAGTTGAGTGTTTGGGTTAGTGAGTGGGTGAGTTGAGTGTTTGGGTTAGTGAGTGGGTGAGTGAGTGGGTGAGTTGAGTGTTTGGGTTAGTGAATGGGTGAGTGAGTGGGTGAGTTGAGTGTTTGGGTTAGTGAATGGGTTAGTGAGTGGGTGAGTTGAGTGTTTGGGTTAGTGTGTGGGTGAGTTGAGTGTTTGGGTTAGTGAATGGGTGAGTGAGTGGGTGAGTTGAGTGTTTGGGTTAGTGAATGGGTGAGTGAGTGGGTGAGTTGAGTGTTTGGGTTAGTGAATGGGTTAGTGAGTGGGTGAGTTGAGTGTTTGGGTTAGTGTGTGGGTGAGTTGAGTGTTTGGGTTAGTGAATGGGTGAGTGAGTGGGTGAGTTAAGTGTTTGGGTTAGTGAATGGGTGAGTGAGTGAGTTGAGTGTTTGGGTTAGTGAATGGGTGAGTGAGTGGGTGAGTTGAGTGTTTGGGTTAGTGAATGGGTTAGTGAGTGGGTGAGTTGAGTGTTTGGGTTAGTGAATGGGTGAGTGAGTGGGTGAGTTGAGTGTTTGGGTTAGTGAATGGGTGAGTGAGTGAGTTGAGTGTTTGGGTTAGTGAATGGGTTAGTGAGTGGGTGAGTTAAGTGTTTGGGTTAGTGAATGGGTTAGTGAGTGAGTTGAGTGTTTGGGTTAGTGAATGTGTGAGTGAGTGGGTGAGTTGAGTGTTTGGGTTAGTGTGTGGGTGAGTTGAGCGTTTGGGTTAGTGAATGGGTGAGTGAGTGAGTTGAGTGTTTGGGTTAGTGAATGGGTGAGTGAGTGAGTTGAGTGTTTGGGTTAGTGAATGGGTTAGTGAGTGGGTGAGTTGAGTGTTTGGGTTAGTGAATGGGTTAGTGAGTGGGTGAGTTGAGTGTTTGGGTTAGTGAATGGGTTAGTGAGTGGGTGAGTTGAGTGTTTGGGTTAGTGAGTGGATGAGTGAGTGAGTTGAGTGTTTGGGTTAGTGAATGGGTTAGTGAGTGGGTGAGTTGAGTGTTTGGGTTAGTGAGTCAGTTAGTGAGTGAGTTGAGTGTTTGGGTTAGTGAATGGGTTAGTGAGTGGGTGAGTTGAGTGTTTGGGTTAGTGAATGGGTTAGTGAGTGAGTTGAGTGTTTGGGTTAGTGAATGGGTGAGTGGGTAAGTTGAGTGTTTGGGTTAGTGAGTGGATGAGTGAGTGGGTGAGTTGAGTGTTTGGGTTAGTGAGTGGGTTAGTGAGTGAGTTGAGTGTTTGGGTTAGTGAATGGGTTAGTGAGTGGGTGAGTTGAGTGTTTGGGTTAGTGAATGGGTTAGTGAGTGGGTGGGTGAGTGAGTGGGTGGATGCGTGAGTGGGTGAGTGGATGGGTGTGTAAGTGGGTGAGTGAGTGGATGGGTGAGTGGGCGAGTGGATGGGTGAGTGGGTAGGTGAGTGGATGGGTGTGTAAGTGGGTGAGTGAGTGGATGGGTGAGTGGGTGAGTGGACGCGTGAGTGGGTGAGTTGAGTGATTGGGTTAGTGAGTGGGTTAGTGAGTGGGTGAGTTGAGTGTTTGGGTTAGTGAATGGGTTAGTGAGTGAGTTGAGTGTTTGGGTTAGTGAATGGGTTAGTGAGTGAGTGAGTTGAGTGTTTGGGTTAGTGAATGGGTGAGTGAGTGGGTGAGTTGAGTGTTTGGGTTAGTGAATGGGTGGGTGAGTGAGTGAGTTGAGTGTTTGGGTTAGTGAGTGAGTTAGTGAGTGGGTGAGTTGATTGTTTGGGTTAGTGAGTGGATGAGTGAGTGGGTGAGTTGAGTGTTTGGGTTAGTGAATGGGTTAGTGAGTGGGTGAGTTGAGTGTTTGGGTTAGTGAATGGGTTAGTGAGTGGGTGAGTTGAGTGTTTGGGTTAGTGAGTGGATGAGTGAGTGAGTTGAGTGTTTGGGTTAGTGAATGGGTTAGTGAGTGGGTGAGTTGAGTGTTTGGGTTAGTGAGTCAGTTAGTGAGTGAGTTGAGTGTTTGGGTTAGTGAATGGGTTAGTGAGTGGGTGAGTTGAGTGTTTGGGTTAGTGAATGGGTTAGTGAGTGAGTTGAGTGTTTGGGTTAGTGAATGGGTGAGTGGGTGAGTTGAGTGTTTGGGTTAGTGAGTGGATGAGTGAGTGGGTGAGTTGAGTGTTTGGGTTAGTGAGTGGGTTAGTGAGTGAGTTGAGTGTTTGGGTTAGTGAATGGGTTAGTGAGTGGGTGAGTTGAGTGTTTGGGTTAGTGAATGGGTTAGTGAGTGGGTGGGTGAGTGAGTGGGTGGATGCGTGAGTGGGTGAGTGGATGGGTGTGTAAGTGGGTGAGTGAGTGGATGGGTGAGTGGGCGAGTGGATGGGTGAGTGGGTAGGTGAGTGGATGGGTGTGTAAGTGGGTGAGTGAGTGGATGGGTGAGTGGGTGAGTGGACGCGTGAGTGGGTGAGTTGAGTGATTGGGTTAGTGAGTGGGTTAGTGAGTGGGTGAGTTGAGTGTTTGGGTTAGTGAATGGGTTAGTGAGTGAGTTGAGTGTTTGGGTTAGTGAATGGGTTAGTGAGTGAGTGAGTTGAGTGTTTGGGTTAGTGAATGGGTGAGTGAGTGGGTGAGTTGAGTGTTTGGGTTAGTGAATGGGTGGGTGAGTGAGTGAGTTGAGTGTTTGGGTTAGTGAGTGAGTTAGTGAGTGGGTGAGTTGATTGTTTGGGTTAGTGAATGGGTGAGTTGAGTGTTTGGGTTAGTGAATGGGTTAGTGAGTGGGTGAGTTGAGTGTTTGTGTTAGTGAATGGGTAAGTGAGTGGGTGAGTTCAGTGTTTGGGTTAGTGAATGGGTGGGTGGGTGAGTTGAGTGTTTGGGTTATTGAATGGGTGAGTGGGTGAGTGGGTGAGTGAGTGGGTGGATGCGTGGGTGGGTGAGTGGATGGGTGTGTAAGTGGGTGAGTGAGTGGATGGGTGAGTGGGTTAGTGGACGGGTGAGTGGGTGGGTGAGTGGATGGGTGTGTAAGTTGGTGAGTGAGTGGATGGGTGAGTGGGTGAGTGGACGCGTGAGTGGGTGGGTTAGTGCGTGGATACGTGAGTGGGTGAGTGGATGTGTGTGTAAGTGGGTGAGTGAGTGGATGGGTGAGTGGATGTGTGAGTAGGTGAGTGGATGCGTGTGTAAGTGGGTGAGTGAGTGGATGGGTGTGTAAGTGGGTGAGTGAGTGGATGGGTGAGTGGATGTGTGAGTAGGTGAGTGGATGGGTGTGTAAGTGGGTGAGTGAGTGGATGGGTAAGTGGGTGAGTGGATGGGTGAGTGGGTGGGTGCATGGATGGGCGAGTGAAGAGGTGGGTGAGCGGATGCTGTGAGTGGGTGAGTCAATGAGTGGATGTGTGGGTGCGTGAGTGAGTGGCTGGGCTAGTGAGTGGACGAGTGAATGGATGGGTGAGTGGGTGGGCTAGTGAAGAGGTGGTGAGTGGATGTGTGAGTGGGTGAGTGAGTGGCTGGGTGATTGAGTGGACGAGTGAGTGGATGGGTGAGTGGATGTGTGAGTGGGTGAGTGGATGGTTGTGTAAGTGGGTAAGTGAGTGGCTGGGCTTGTGAGTGGACGAGTGAATGGATGGGTGAGTGGGTGGGCTAGTGTAGAGATGAGTGAGTGGATGTATGAGTGGGTGAGTGGATGGTTGTGTAAGTGGGTGAGTGAGTGGCTGGGTGAGTGGCTGGGTGGGTGAGTGGGTGGGCGAGTGGGTGAGTGGATGGTTGTGTAAGTGGGTGAGTGGGTGGGCGAGTGGGTGAGTGGATGGTTGTGTAAGTGGACGGGTGAGTGGCTGGGTGAGTGAGTGAGTGGGCGAGTGGGTGAGTGGTAGCTTTGCCAAATTTTCCATAGACAGAACCGGGTTCATATTTCGCTAACGGCCAATGGTGACAGCACCACGTGAGGGTCTCACAAGTGACGACATCACATCTACCCCTCTGTTTAAGGAACGAAACGGGAAGAACCCTCCACAAATCTCACTGCTGTCGCCCGATGATGCCGGCTGTAATCACCGGCCAAACGTCATACTCGGCTTGTGAATGTTGTGGCCTTACTCTCCAACGCGCAACCGGTGTGGTGCTGTTACCACGTGTTGTTTACGCGACAAAACCCCTTTACTGATTGGCTGTGTGGTCGGGTGGTATGCGGCGGCTTTAACGACACAACATTTATATTCACGCGACCTCACCTGAGCGCACCTCGTTATCGTGGACGTTTCAATTTGCGTAGCAGGGGGGCTTTTAACCGCCGCAACGTGGCGCTGATGTTCATC